GTTCCCGGACCTGGTCCTCCAGCGTCGTCTGGGCTGCTGCGGCTCCTGCTGATTCCATTATTGGTGTGTTATTCTGTCACGCGTGCTGTAGGTGGGTGTAGTGGTGGAATCAAACGCAGAACACCGAAGGATAGTCCAAACAACTTTAGTAAATCTCCAAACAGGAAAAATGACAACACTGGCCCGAAGGCAAAAATACGCACAAAGGCGAAATAGCAAAAAGCGCACTAACAGGTGCGTAACGCTCCAACGCAGTGGAGGAAAGCTCAACCGAGCGAAAGGGCGAAAATAAGCCCAACACACGACAGACCAAAATCAATAACACACAACACTAGACAAACACAACGAGAAACTTATAGGACACTAATTACGCTAAACGAGAACAGGTGTGACAACAAACAGACAAAAGCAAACGAAGATGAAACATACAACGGTGGCAGCTAGTATTCCGGAGACAACGAACGCCGAAGCCTGCCCGAACAAGGGAGAGAGGCAGCCTCGGCCGAAACCGTGACAACTACTACTACTACTACTACTACTACTACTACTACTACTACTACTACTACTACCACTACTACTATACTGAATCTACTACTACTGCTACTTCTATTATTACTACTACTACCACCACCACAACTACATATACTACAACTACTACTACTACTACTATACTGTATTTCCTACTACTACTACTACTACTACTACTACTATGCATCTACTACTACTACTACTACTACTACTACTACTACTACTACTACTACTACTACTCTGCATCTACTACTACTGCTACTTATATTATTACTACGACTACTACTACTACTACTACTACTACTACTACTACTACTACTACTACTACTTCTACTACTACTACTACTACTACTACTACTACTACTACTACTACTACTACTACTACTACTACTACTACTAGGGCGGCAGGTAGCTTAGTGGGTAAGAGCGTTGTGCCAGTAACCGAAAGGTCGATGTGCCCTTGAGCAATGCACTTAACCCTAATTGCTCCTGTAAGTCGCTCTGGATAAGAGCGTCTGCTAAATGACTAAAATGTAAAAATGTAAATGTAAATACTACTACTACTATTACTACTACTACTACTGCTACTACTACTACTACATCTACTACTTGATGGACTCCATGATGCCATGTATCCTAACGAGGATCCCAGGGCCTTTGGAAAGAAAACAGCCCCACAACATCACAGACCCACCACCATACTGGAGATTAGGTTATTTTCTGCATGACCATGGCTTTTTTTACGCCAAACGCACCTCTGGTTTTTGTTGCCAAAAAAGCTATATTTTAATCTCATCAGACCATAGAACTTGGTTCCAGTCAAAGTTCCAATGACATTTAGCAAACTCCAGTCGCTTAGGTTTGTGGTTTGGTAACAGCAGAGGCTTTCTTCTGGCAACCCTTCCAAATAACTTGTTGGCATGGAGGTGACGTAAAATTGTAGTTTTGGAGGCTTGGTCACCACAAGATGTAACCAACTTCTCCAATTCTCCAACTGTGATCCTTTTTTGCCACTAGAACCTTCCTTCTCACAGTGTGTGGGTACAAAATACACTTTCGTCCTTTTCCAGGCAGGTTCATCACAGCTCCAGTTGTTTAACATTTCTTAATTACTGCCCTAATAGTGGAGATGGGTATTTTCAGGTGTGTAAATATATTTTTATAGACATTGCCTGATTTGTGAAGGTCAACAACCTTCTCTGGCCTTTCCAATGTTGATGGATGACTAAGGGAGTTTAGCCTGTGTGTCACCTCATATTTATACCCCGGTGAAACACGAAGTCATGGATGACCGCTTAAGAGTTCCCAAAGACTCAGATGAACTTTAAAAAGTAAAATCTTAATCGGAATATACATAAATTACATTTTGTTCATAGGAATTTCTAGAGGTGTCAATAATTGTGACAGGCATGTTTTTGAATAAAATACACTATATATACAAAACTATGTGGACACCCCTTCAAATTAGTGGATTCAGCTATTTCAGCCACACCCGTTGCTGACAAGTGTATAAAATTGAGCACACAGCCATGCAATCTCCATAGACAAACATTGACAGTAGAATGGTCTTACTGAAGAGCTTAGTGACTGGAAACGTCTAGGAGCAACAACGGCTCAGCAGCGAAGTGGTAGTCCACACAAGCTCACAGAACGGGACCGCCGAGTGCTGAAGCGCATAGCATGTAAAAATCGCCTGTCATAGGTTGCAACACTTGCTACCGAGTTCCAAACAGCCTCTGCAAGCAAAGTCAGCACAATAACTGTTCGTCGGGAGCTTCATGAAATTGGTTTCCATGGCCGAGCAGCCGCACACAAGCCTGAGATCACCATGCGCAATGCCAAGCGTTGGCTAGAGCGGTGTAAAGCTCGCCGTCATTGGACTCTAGAGCAATGGAAACGCGTTCTATGGTGATGAATCACGCTTTACCATCTGGCAGTCTGACTAGGCCCCTTAGTTCCAGTGAAGGGAAATCTTAACTTTGCAACATACAATTACATTCTAGATGATTGTGTGCTTCCAACTTTGTGGCAACAGTTTGGGGAAAGCCCTTTCCTGTTTCAGCATGACAATGCCCCCATGCACAAAGTGAGGTCCATACAGAAATGGTTTGTTGAGATCGGTGTGGAAGAACTTGACTGGCCTGCACAGAGCCCTGACCTCAACCCCATCGAACAACTTTGGGATGAATAAGAACGCAGACTGCGAGCCAGGACTAATTGCCCGACCTCACTAATGCTCTTGTGGCTGAATGGAAGTCCTTGCAGCAATGTTCCAACATCTAGCAGAAAGCCTTCCCAGAAGAATGAAGGCTGTTATAGCAGCAAATGGGGGACCAACTCTATATTAATGCCCATGATTTTGGAATGATTTTGGTCATGTAATGTAATTATTTCTTGATGATGATTTTTTCTTTTCTTTTAACAATTTTAACTAAATTTAAGGTTAGATTCATGTGATATTTTGAGTGTAAGATCAAGCTGATAAACAACAATTACATTTTTTTCACAGGCTTTTTTGTTCATATTTACCTAGGGTGCCAACAAAAATATGTTTTTAGTAATATAATAAAAAAGCTAGATATGATTCTATCCTCAAATGACCAAAAACCTCCAAAGGTCAAAGTTACCTGGTTTTCTTCTCCATCTTTATATTTGTGTTTCCATAAATCTTCTACCTCTTGTTTTTCAACAGACAGTTAGTTGGTTACACAACCCCAAAACTTTTTCGCGAAATGGATAGTGAATTTACAATATATGTTATGATTTCTATTATGCCACATAAATGCACTGTCGGCTAACAGAAACCAAATGCTCCTCATATGGCCGGGTGCCACAATATGGTAATGAACGACCCTCCTCAAGCCTCCCACAGATACAGTAGAGCTTGTGTGTGTGTGTGTGTGTGACTGTGTGTGTGTGTGACTGTCTGTCTGTGTGTGTGTGTTCGTGTGTGTGTGTGTGTGTGTGTGTGTGTGCGTGTGTGTGTGTCAACTTTCCCTCCCTCTTCCCTCCATTTGTCAGCCCTGGAAGGTTGTTGGAGGAGTCTGAGTTACTGCTACTGCTGTAGGCACTGAAGAATGTGTGTACAGGGTCCTAACTGCACCTGGATCCAGAGATTTATTAAAAGGCCAGGTTGAGCCAAGACATCTCGAAGATGTAGTGCTGCAGGAGGCTAGAGAAGAGCAAAGTCCTCCTGAACTCACAGAGAGATAGAGAGAGAGGGAGAGGGAGAGGGAGAGGGAGAGGGAGAGAGAGAGAGAGACAGATAAAGAGATAGAGAGAGAAAATAGAGAGAAAGAGAGAGAGACAGAGAAGAGAGAAGAGAGAGATAGAAGATCTCTCTCTCGCTCTCTCTCTCGCCCTCTCCCTCTCTCTCTCTCGCTCTCTCTATCTGAGCTCCTTAAGGCTCGGTTTCTCTCGCTCTCGATCGCTTCGCATACCACTTCTTCTAATCCATATCGCGCTCTCTATCGCGCCCCCTCATCTACTAATCGCGACATACCCTCCTCTCTCTCCTCTCTTCTCTTCTCTAGCGCGTCTCTCTCTTCTCCCTGCCCCGTCTCTCTCGCCATCTCTCTTATCTCTCTCTCTCTATTTTTTCTTTAAGCTCTCGCCTCTACTCTTCCCCTCGCTGAGAAGCAGAGAGACTAAAATAAGAGGAGATAAAGAAAAGAAAGCGAGAGAGAGACTAGTAGATAGTTAAACTTACATAAAAACACCACACCACCCCACACACTTCTTCCACCCCCTTTCCTTTCAATGCCTGGGGTGAGACAGGGATGCTGCTTGAGCCCCACCCTCTTTAACATATATATCAATAAATTGGCAAGGGCACTAGAACAGCACCCGGCCTCACCCTACTAGAAACTGAAGTCAAATGTCTACTGTTTGCTGATGATCTGGGGCCGGATTCACAAAACCTTCTTAAGAAGAAATGTATTCTTAACTGCCATTGTTTCCTTAACTATAGACTTAAGAAGAAAGTTAAGCAAAGTTGATATTCCTCAATAAAGTTATTGGAAATGTTCTTAAGTTTTTTCCTAAGTTTCTTCCTAAAAAAAAAAGTTAAGAAGAAATTGGATTCTTGAAAATAATGCTTTAGGATTTCTTCTTGGAAATGTCCTTCACTTTAGGACCCTTTTCTTGTGCAGACAGGGCTTGACTGAGGTGAGCGTTTTAAAAATACGTTATAACTAAAAACATCAATGTAAACTTTAGTTTGAAAAGCTTTTAATGACATATTTGACTAAATAATGAATATTTTAATAATAATTGTTGAAATGGTCATAAAATCAAATGATGACAAAGCTAAATGTATTGATTAGAAAAGTTATTAAAATTACAATAGTCAAAAACAGAATAATCAAGGAATATTTAGTGATTCAAAGCTTGCTATGCTACTGTACATTAAATTAGTTATACGGGTAGCTGCTAGAGAGAGGGAGAACCCACAGAGGCCTCTAAGAGATCGGATGGATCCTATACATGTCCCTGACCATGTTCTACTGAGGCAATATCGACTACCACGACACTCTATCATGTACTTGGCTGACCTTCTAAATGAAAACTTAAAAAGAAAGACCATGAGATCATGCCCGCTTCCAATCATCCTACAAATCACTAACTCCCAGGGACAGTGGGAGTTAGTCAGTCCTCTGTGAGTCGGGTGGTTAGTGCAGTGTGTGATGCACTGTGTCGTCATGTGCAAAGATTCATCAAGTTCCCATCAACTGCTAATGAACAAATAAGCCCCAAACAAAAGTGTTTTGAGATGGCTAACTTCCCTAATGTCCTTGGTGCTGTGGATGGGACCCATGTGGCAATAAAGGTCAGTGACGATGACAAGCTTCTGTCAAAACATGTTTACATAAGCAGAGTTTGCAACCCACCAAAATGTATTATTTCAGTAGGCCTTATACAGTTAAAGTCGGAAGTTTGCATACACTTAGGTTGGAGTCATTAAAACACATCTTTCAACCACTCCACACATTTCTTGTTAACAAACTATAGTTTGGGCAAGTTGGTTAGGACATATACTTTGTGCATGACACAAGTAATTTTTCCAACAATTGTTTACAGACATATTATTTAACTTAGAATTCACTGTTTCACAATTCCAGTGGGTCAGAAGTTCACATACACTAAGTTGACTGTGCCTTTAAACAGCTTGGAAAATTCCAGAAAATGATGTCATGGCTTTAGAAGCTTCTGATAGGCTAATTGACATCATTGGAGTCAATTGGAGGTGAACATGTGGATGTATTTCAAGGCTTACCTTCAAACTCAGTGCCTCGTTGCTTGACATCATGGGAAAATCAAAAGAAATCAGCTAAGACCTCAGAGAAAATATTGTAGACCTCCACAAGTCTGGTTCATCCTTGGGAGCAATTTCCAAATGCCTGAAGGTACCACATTCATCTGTACAACCAATACTACGCAAGTATAAACAACATGGGACCACGCAGCCGTCATACCGCTCAGGAAGGAGACACGTTCTGTCTCCTAGAGATGAATGTACTTTGGTGCGAAAAGTGCTAATCAATCCCAGAACAACAGCAAAGGACCTTGTGAAGATGCTGGAGGAAACAGGTACAAAAGTATCTATATCCACAGTAAAACTAGTCCTATATCGACATAACCTGAAAGGCCGCTCAGCAAGGAAGAAGCCACTGCTCCAAAACCACCATAAAAAAGCCAGACTACGGTTTGCAACTGCACATGGGGACAAAGATCGTACTTTTTGGAGAAATGTCCTCTGGTCTGATTAAACAAAAATATAACTGTTTGGCCATAATGACCATCGTTATGTTTGGAGGAAAAAGGGGGGCCTTGCAAGCCAAAGAACACCATCCCAAACGTGAAGCACGGGGGTGGCAGCATCATGCTGTGGTGGTGCTTTGCTGCAGGAGGGACTGGTGCACTACACAAAATAGATGGCATCATGAGGAAGGAACATTATGTGGAGATATTGAAGCAACATCTCAAGACATCAGTCAGGAAGTTAAAGCTTGGTCGCAAATGGGTCTTCCAAATGGACAATCACCCCAAGCATACTTACAAAGTTGTGGCAAAATGGCTTAAGGACGACAAAGTCAAGGTATTGGAGTGGCCATCACAAAGCCCTGACCTCAATCCTATAGAACATTTGTGGGCAGAACTGAAAATGTGTGTGCGAGCAAGGAGGCCTACAAACCTGACTCAGTTACACCAGCTCTGTCAGGAGGAATGGGCCAAAATTCACCCAACTTGTTGTGGGAAGCTTGTGGAAGGCTACCCGAATCTTTTGACCCAAGTTAAACAATTTAAAGGCAATGTTACCAAATACTAATTGAGTGTATGTAAACTTCTGACCCACTAGGAAGGTGATGAAATAAATAAAAGCTGAAATAAATCATTCTCTCAACTATTATTCTGACATTTCACATTCTTAAAATAACGTGGTGATCCTAACTGACCTAAGACAGGGAATTTTTACTAGGATTAAATGTCAGGAATTGTGAAAAACTGAGTTTAAATGTATTTGGCTAATGTGTATGTAAACTTCCGACTTCAACTGTAAGTATCTGATGTAGTCTTACCATTTCTCCTGATAGGGTCCACTTGATGAGGAGGACATTTATGTTAATCGAAATAACTTCCACTCTATCAATGTGCAAGTAGTCTGCAATGCCACACTAGCCTTCACTAATGTTGTTGCCAAATGGCCCAGGAGCACACACAACTCCTTCATTGTATCAAATTCAGCCCTGAGAAGGCATGTTTGAGTAAGGTCCCATTCCTGATGGATGGCTATTAGGTAAAGAAATCAGAAATCACTAACCCTTTATTTTCTTTACCTGATACCTGTTACCTTTGTAATTGTGTTGTGGTCCACAGCACACTTAAAATAGTGTTGCTTCTTATGATATAAATTTACTACTTTGTATGTTTGGGGTTTTAGGTGATAGTGGCTATGGACAAAAAACATGGCTCATAACACCAATCCTACACACTAACAATGATGCAGAAGAGAACTACAACCACGCTCAGATGAAAACGAGGAGTTTAGTAGAGAGATCTATCGGAGTCCTAAAATCCAGATTCAGATGCATTGACCGCTCTGGGGGAGTTATTTTATACAGCCCAGAAAAAACATGCAAGATCATAACCTCAGCATGTATCTTGCTCATCTGCATACAAAACAGGATGCCACATCCCAATATACCTGACATTCTACCAGCTGTACCTAATAATAATAATAATAATAATAATATGCCATTTAGCATGTACCTGACCAGGATGTTGCCGCTGACCACAATGCTGCTGGTAGATGCAATGCTGGCCTACAAGCAAGAAATGACCTCATAAGGAGGAGATTCACATGACAAAAAATAAGGTTTGTATGATATCGAAACAGACTTATTTTAGAATATTAATCTTCAAGTCTTCTTCGCTTCTCGATGGCAAACCTATCCTTCTCCAGGGCTAGCTTCTCCTTCTGCAGGGCTAATCTCTCGCCTTCCACCTTCAGCAGCTCCTCCTGCACCCAGCGCAGGGCCGTGACCTCCCCCAGGAGCGACCTCTGGACAGCCACCATCTCCTCCAAACTAGCAAGCCTCCTTGCCTGGGGTGGCACTGGCTCGTACATTGGGGTGTCATGTCGGTTAAGGATCTGAGACAGGCGAATCTCCTCTGTGTCTTCAGTGATGATCTGTTGAGAAAATACAATGAACATGTTATGGGAATGAGTGTTGTATTATTATAGAAGAATATTAAACGTATTAAATGAGAAACCAAACAAACACCTTCCTCTGCTTGTTCTTCTGTCACATTATCATGATCATCCATGGCTCCCACATCCGGGCACAGGGGCATATGGATGAGGTCCAGTGTTATTTCTGGAAGGTCAAACACATCGTGTCAGCATAACAACAACGTTTCAAGAGCTGTAGGCTCGATATGATGAGAGAAGTATAAGTGTAACGTTAGCTAAACGACTGGATACTTTTGTATCCAGTCGGCTACCGTACATTTAAATACAGCAAGAAAACGAATTAAACATGCATTATCTAACTAGCTAGTAATTAACAACATATTACAATATTGTAGAAGTGTTAAATAGCTAAAGTTAGCTCGTCAATTTGCAAAGAAACACTTGGCTAAGTTAGCTAATGTTAACGTCGTTAGCTATGTTAGCTAATTAGCTAATGTTGTTACACGTTATCTAGCAAACTTACCGGTCGCGCAGTTCGAGTCGATGCCCGACCACAGTCCCTCTACCACCGTCTCTCCTATCATGGACAACACCTTCTCCTCCAGCTGGTCCACATGAATGGTTGATACCCCCCTCCAGTCTTCTTCAACTCCCTGCTTCTCTCAGCTCCCTTCTTCTTAGCAGCCGACTTGATATCGGACCACTTCTTTTTTACGGCGTCACTGTCCCTTGCCATACCCCCGATGGCAGAGACAGACACGGCCACTCTCGCCCATCCTCTCTTTTTGGTCTCTGCACTGACCCCACAGTTATCGAGCCTCCCCAACAGCAACCTTTTCCTGGCTGCTATTTCCTCCGCCATCACTTCAAGCCCTTGTTTGCTGAAGTTTTTATTGCACTTTCCTTGGTTATCTATTTTTGGTTTTGATATAGGTAGTCTGATGGCTATAATGTGTGGAAAATAACGGGGGTTTTGTGTGTGTATAAAGGGTTCACGAGCCATCTAAAAATGTTTTATTCTCGAGACATAAAGCAAAAAAATAAATGTAATAAAATTGAAATATCAACACTTTATTATAGTGGGCCAAATCCTAACATCCCTGTCACATAGGCTTATTTATTGGTTTCAAGCACATCACTGATGTCAATGCCACATAAGAAGATATTTACAAAGTTCTTAAGAAAGATAGAGTGGGGAAAAAATGTATTTAGTCAGCCACCAATTGTGCAAGTTCTCCCACTTAAAAATATGAGAGAGGCCTGTAATTTTCATCATAGGTACACGTCAACTATGACAGACAAATTGAGATTTTTTTTTCTCCAGAAAATCACATTGTAGGATTTGTTATGAATTTATTTGCAAATTATGGTGGAAAATAAGTATTTGGTCAATAACAAAAGTTTCTCAATACTTTGTTATATACCCTTTGTTGGCAATGACACAGGTCAAACGTTTTATGTAAGTCTTCACAAGGTTTTCACACACTGTTGCTGGTATTTTGGCCCATTCCTCCATGCAGATCTCCTCTAGAGCAGTGATGTTTTGGGGCTGTCGCTGGGCAACACAGACTTTCAACTCCCTCCAAAGATTTTCTATGGGGTTGAGATCTGGAGACTGGCTAGGCCACTCCAGGACCTTGAAATGCTTCTTACGAAGCCACTCCTTCGTTGCCCGGGCGGTGTGTTTGGGATCATTATCATGCTGAAAGACCCAGCCACGTTTCATATTCAATGCCCTTGCTGATGGAAGGAGGTTTTCACTCAAAATCTCACGATACATGGCCCCATTCATTCTTTCCTTTACACGGATCAGTCGTCCTGGTCCCTTTGCAGAAAAACAGCCCCAAAGCATGATGTTTCCACCCCATGCTTCACAGTAGGTATGGTGTTCTTTGGATGCAACTCAGCATTCTTTGTCCTCCAAACACGACGAGTTGAGTTTTTACCAAAAAAGTTATATTTTGGTTTCATCTGACCATATGACATTCTCCCAATCCTCTTCTGGATCATCAAAATGCACTCTAGCAAACTTCAGACGGGCCTGGACATGTACTGGCTTAAGCAGGGGGACACGTCTGGCACTGCAGGATTTGAGTCCCTGGCGGCGTAGTGTGTACTGATGGTAGGCTTTGTTACTTTGGTCCCAGCTCTCTGCAGGTCATTCACTAGGTCCCTCCGTGTGGTTCTGGGATTTTTGTGATCATTTTGACGCCACGGGGTGAGATCTTGCGTGGAGCCCCAGATCGAGGGAGATTATCAGTGTCTTGTATGTCTTCCATTTCCTAATAATTGCTCCCACAGTTGATTTCTTCAAACCAAGCTGCTTACCTATTGCAGATTCAGTCTTCCCAGCCTGGTGCAGGTCTACAATTTTGTTTCTGGTGTCCTTTGACAGCTCTTTGGTCTTGGCCATAGTGGAGTTTGGAGTGTGACTGTTTGAGGTTGTGGACAGGTGTCTTTTATACTGATAACAAGTTCAAACAGGTGCCATTAATACAGGTAACGAGTGGAGGACAGAGGAGCCTCTTAAAGAAGAAGTTACAGGTCTGTGAGAGCCAGAAATCTTGCTTGTTTGTAGGTGACCAAATACTTATTTTCCACCATAATTTGCAAATAAATTCATTAAAAATCCTACAATGTGATTTTCTGGATTTTTTTCTCTCAATGTGTCTGTCATAGTTGACGTGTACCTATGATGAAAATTACAGGCCTCTCTCATCTTTTTAAGTGGGAGAACTTGCACAATTGGTGGCTGACTAAATACTTTTTCCCCCACTGTATTTACGAAGTTCCTAAAAACAACTATGAATTCCTAAGAACATTTTGAGGAATTGCACTTACGAACTATCTTATGAACTTCTTATATTTTTCCTTAAGAAACTTCTTACGTTTTTTTGTAAGTAGCGTCTTGTGAATCCGGCCCCTGGTGCTTCTGTCCCCAACCAAGGAAGGCCTACAGCAGCACCTACAGTGAGGGAAAACAGTTTTTGTTCCCCTGGTGATTTTGTACGTTTGCCCACTGACAGATAAATGATCTGTCTATAATTTTAATGGTAGGTTTATTTGAACAGTGAGAGACAGAATAACAACAAAAAAATCTAGAAAAAAGCACGTCAAAAATGTTATAAATTCATTTGCATTTTAATGAGGGAAATAAGTATTTGACCCCCTCTCAATCAGAAAGAATTCTGGCTCCCAGGTGTCTTTTATATAGGTAATGAGCTGAGATTAGGAGCACACTCTTAATGGGAGTGCTCCTAATCTCAGTTTGTTACCTGTATAAAACACATCTGTCCACAGAAGCAATCAATCAATCAGATTCCAAACTCTCCACCATGGCCAAGACCAAAGAGCTCTCCAATGATGTCAGGGACAAGATTGTAGACCTACACAAGGCTGGAATGAGCTACAAGACCATCGCCAAGCAGCTTGGTTAGAAGGTGACAACAGTTGGTGCGATTATTCGCAAATGGAAGAAACACAAAAGGACTGTCAATCTCCCTCGGCCTGGGGCTCCATGCAAGATCTCACCTCGTGTAGTTATAATAATAATATAATAATATTATGCCACTTAGCAGACGCTTTTATCCAAAGCGACTTACAGCTGCAATGATCATGAGAACGGTGAGGAATCAGCCCAGAACTACACGGGAGTATCTTGTCAATGATCTCAAGGCAGCTGGGACCATAGTCACCAAGAAAACAATTGGTAACACACTACACCGTGAAGGACTGAAATCCTGCAGCACCCGCAAGGTCCCCCTGCTCAAGAAAGCACATATACAGGCCCGTCTGAAGTTTGCCAATGAACATCTGAATGATTCAGAGGAGAACTGGGTGAAAGTGTTGTGGTCAGATAAGACCAAAATCGAGCTCTTTGGCATCAACTCAACTCGCCGTGTTTGGAGGAGGAGGATTGCTGCCTATGACCCCAAGAATACCATCCCCACCGTCAAACATGGAGGTGGAAACATTATGCTTTGGGGGTGTTTTTCTGCTCAGGGGACAGGACAACTTCACCGCATCAAAGGGACGATGGACGGCGCCATGTACTGTCAAATCTTGGGTGAGAACCTCCTTCCCTCAGCCAGGGCATTGAAAATGGGTAGTGGATGGGTATTCCAGCATGACAATGACCCAAAACACATGGCCAAGGCAACAAAGGAGTGGCTCAAGAAGAAGCATATTAAGGTCCTGGAGTGGCCTAGCCAGTCTCCAGACCTTAATCCCATAGAAAATCTGTGGAGGGAGTTGAAGGTTCGAGTTGCCAAACGTCAGCCTCGAAACCTTAATGACTTGGAGAAGATCTGCAAAGAGGAGTGGGACAAAATCCCTCCTGAGATGTGTGCATACCTGATGGCCAACTACAAAAAACATCTGACCACTGTGATTGCCAACAAGGGTTTTGCCACCAAGTACAAAGTCATGTTTTGCAGAGGGGTCAAATACTTATTTCCCTCATTAAAATGCAAATCAATTTATAACATTTTTGAGATGCGTTTCTCTGGAATTGTTTGTTGTTATTCTGTCTCTCACTGTTCAAATAAACCTACCATTAAAAGTATAGACTGATCATGTCTTTGTCAGTGGGCAAACGTACAAAATCAGCAGGGGATCAAATACTTTTTTCCCTCTGTAGATCTTCTGCAAAAATTACACTTTCTTATTCTTAGTGAATAAGAAAGTGTAATATGATTAACAGTCTTAAAAAAGTTGATGAGGGAACAGAACAGAACGCTCCTGCATGTCTTCTGGAGGGCTCCCCCAACAGCCCCCTGCATTACAACGCAGTGTTTACCCAATGTCTACACACACACACAAGCACGCCAGACACACAAACAGAAGTTTGGCAAACACTCTCGAGCACTTATGGGCCTGCTCTTTGTAAACTTTCAATGTATTCTTTCAAGAGTCCAATTCCAACTGATGCATTGAAAAACAAAAAACATTGGCTCCATCAACAGAATGGGGCTCTCCCTTTTTTAAATGAATGGTAAACAGAATGTTGACGGTGTGTAGGCACACACATAGCCTCCGTGTTGCTTGGATGGACTCCCCTAAGGTTCAGAGGAAACTGCTTTTATGTTGGGCTTAAATCCAAACTGGCAAGCTTTTCCATTAATTCCCATCCCATAAAGTCTGAAGAGCAGTGTATTTAGGCTCATTCACTGTCCTTTTATAAATGGTATATTACAGTCCTGTGTTTTGGTATTTTCTTTATCTGTACACAGAGAGAGAGAGAGAGAGAGAGAGAGAGAGAGAGAGAGAGAGAGAGAGAGAGAGAGAGAGAGAGAGAGAGAGAGAGAGAGAGAGAGAGAGAGAGAGAGAGAGAGAGAGAGAGAGAGAGAGAGAGAGAGAGAGAGAGAGAGAGAGACAGACAGACAGACAGACAGACAGACAGACAGACAGACAGACAGACAGACAGACAGACAGACAGACAGACAGACAGACAGACAGACAGACAGACAGACAGACAGACAGACAGACAGACAGACAGACAGACAGACAGACAGACAGACAGACAGACAGACAGACAGACAGACAGACAGACAGACAGACAGACTGACTGACTGACTGACTGACT